GGTTTCTGCAGGTTAATCTCAGAAGTGAACTGCGTGAAAATGATGTATGGCTGCAAAAGTTGATTCAATAGTTTAATTGATTATTTTTTGATTGTTTAATTGATTTGTAAAAGTTGATTCAATAGTAGATGATCGGAAATAAGAATTATTGCTTATTTTTTGATTGTTTAATTGATTTGTAAAAGATGATTTGTAAAAGTTGATTTGTGTAATTGATGCGAACATAATTCTTATTTGTGCTTGTTTAATTGATTGAAATGTAATGGTTGATTTTGTTGATTTCAATCTGCATTATGTTGAAGGCAAAAATGACTATCGCAATGCGAAATGAAAATCGCAATGCGAAATGAAAATCGCAACGAGAGAATCGCAATGCGAAATGAAAATCGCAATGCGGAAATGAAAATCGCAACGAGAGAATCGCAATGCGTTTATAATTTCGCATTGCGATTCTCTCGTTGTGATTTTCATTTCGCATTGCGATTTTCATTTCGCATTGCGATTCTCTCGTTGCGATTTTCATTTCGCATTGCGATTCTCTCGTTGCGATTTTCATTTCGCATTGTGATTTTCATTTCGCATTGCGATTCTCTCGTTGCGATTTTCATTTCCGCATTGCGATTTTCATGTTGGGATTTTCATTTCGCATTGCGATTCTCTCATTGCGATTGTAATTTCCGTGTTGCGATAGTCAAATGCATTCCTAATAGTGATAACAACTGAATAACAAGAGTTGGTTAAGTCAAAATGGTTGGCCTGAGTCATTAATTCAACTGAAAATGTTAAAAGTTCACACATAAAATCCACATAATACAACGTTTGCATTTAAAAATCACCTAAGTTAACAGTCCCAAAAGGTGAAGCCAATTGTGATTGGGATTTTAAAGATGATTGCCTTTTGCTTGACACCATAGGAACTTTGGATTTTGATGAGGATCCATATTTTGGTAGAGGAAAAGATGATTTTGATGGCACTGGTGATCCACATGTCAACCTTGTATGACCACTTTCCTTGCACCGACTACATGTCGATCTCTTCTTCTCTTCACCCTTAGACGGTATACGATCGTGACTTTTTGGTCGGCCAGGTAGCCTTCTGTCCATGGCTGGTGGCAAAACTGTTTGTAAGTCATCTGGTATGTCCCACTCAGAAGGATGTGGAATAGGGTAGACAATCTCGGCATAAGTCTGTCGATAAACTTCTGTAGTGTAGCAATCCATAGCGTATGCGCTTGAATCATCTTGGTTTAAATGAAGAGCAACTTTTATAACATGGCCACACGAATAACCAGATGTTTGCCATTTCATACAACTACACGTCTTTGCATTTAGATCGACTAGCCCATTTAAGTTATTATCCAGTACTTGAAACAAAGTGTTTGAACATGGTTCAACTCTCCATGACGTTGACTTCACAACACGTTTCGTTATCTTTTTTTTCAGTCCATGGTGTAACATGATGTTCCAATGTTCCTGTAAATTTAAATAAGCAATACTTAGTAAAATATATAAATATGATAAGTTACGAATTCAAAGAAATAATACCTGCATGGTTTCTTTTCTTGTAGTACCACTGTTGAATAGAGGCTCGAAAAAACTCCATTAACATAGTAATGGGTAATTTCCGGGAATGACGACTTAGAGCGTTGATTGATTCTGCACTATTAGACGTCATGAAACCATATCTTGCTCCAAGTTGATGTACTCTTGACCATCTTTCAAACCCGACATCTTCTAGTGTTTGAGCACACTGAGGCAAAACACGTCTTAAACAATTTATATGCTTATTGAAATCCACTTCCCGATAAGCTTTTACAGCCTTACAGTATGTCCATTTGTGCTTTTTTATACCAGCAGACCTTGATTTTAGATTTCTATACAAATGAACACCACAAAGTCCATGAAAAGTATCTGGGAAACACCTTCTAACAGCGTTGTCAATGAGTTTGCCCTATCGGATATGATTGTCAGATTGCTAATAGGACCTATGCAATCCTAAGATGCCCCATAAACCATGTCCATGAATCAGAGGTTTCAGATTTGCCAACCCCGTAAGCTATTGGCAATATCCCATTGTTAGCATCCATGGCTACTGCTAATAAGTTTACTCCAAGGTATCGACCTTTCAAATGTGCTCCGTCAACTATAATAACTGGGCGCATGCAAGTAATAAACGAACGAATCTACAAAATAATATACACAAGAAATATAATCATTTAAATGTGAAATGCATGTAACTAACAAAAATGAGTCAACAAAATTATATTGATTTACTAACCGTAGCACCAATGGCGATAAACAGCAACTCAAAGCGTCCATCTCTATCTGTTTTGATATGAGTTACCGACCCAGGATTTTTCAGCTTTAAATTGTGACAATAAGCCGGCAGTTGGGCAAACGATGCTTCTGGCGACCCCCTCAACAATTCCAAGGCATAACATTTGGCTCTCCAAGCTTGAGAATATGATATACTAATCTTGAACCGAGCATTCATGTCAGTCATAATTTCATGTCCCCGATATACCCTGCCATTCAAAACATTAACTCAGCCAGAAAACCACCCAACACCTTTTTGTTTGCCTGTCTATGGTGAGGAAAAACTTGGGTTCTTGAACATGTATGTTTATCAATAAAAGTCCTAACTTGAAACATTTTGCAATCTTTTATTCTCTTTGCAATCATACGCCACATACAGTTTTTGTCAATCATACACCTTGTTTCGAAACGATCTTTGCTTGATTTGTTAACTTTTAGTTGATAGCCATCTTCCACACATTTCGTATATAAAGCTATCTTCAAGTCTTCCTTTGTATCAAAACAATCATCTTTCTTGATACGAATAACTTTTGTGTAACAATCAACTGCTTTCTTTATCAACTCTTCTTCCGGTATCTGAAGTAATTCTGGCATATTCCAGTTATACGCCCGTGGCATTTTCTTTTCTTCGGGGACTTTTTCTTCTTCTTTTTCTTCTTCAGGATTATATGAATTACAGAATGGATGTTCAACATGTTCATTCACAGCCGTAACTTCCTCCTTATTATCATCAACAATACATTCTTCGGCAACGGCTGTTTCATCATCAAAATTCGGGTATTGACCAATATCAATATCATTACACGCATGGTCTGTTTCTTCTTCTGAAACATCATCAAAATCCGTGTATTGACCAATATCAAAGTCCGGATATTGACCAAGACCAAATTTCGAATACTGACTAGTACTCACAATTTTTTCTGTTGGCTCATCATCGTCTAACTGGTCAATACGAAAACCGGAATTTGGTGCTGAAAGTTGATTGGGATTTGGATTAGAGAAAGGTTGTGGGTTTTGAGAAAAACTTAGTTGATTACTACCCGCTACTGACCCAACAATACTACTTCTAGGTTCAACAACATACAATGTAACATCATCTTGTGAAACACTAATGTAAGCAATGAATCGTTCAACATCTTCATTGTCGGTTAACAAATAAACTTTACCATTTCTCTGATAAGATAGCCTAAATCCACTTAGGGGCTCTAAATTCAATTTATTTGAAACACGTAGCATTAGAGTTTCATAAGTTAACTTTTGTAAAGACAATTTTAGTTGAAGATTCATGGGTAAAGGCATATATTGTAAAACACCATGAACATTATCCCATGACCCTCCAAAACACAAATCTATCCAAACATGATCAACATTAGATGATTTCATGGTTGTAAATTAATTTACTAAACAGACGAGCTGCGAAACTAAACCTGTTGCCGGATTGGGAAGGATGTCGTTGGATATAGGAACGGATGTCGCCGGAGAGAGTGATAGATGGAGATGGAATGAGTTGCGATTTAGGGATTTAGTTTATGATTTCAGTGTTATATACCCAAAATTCCAGTGTTGTGATTTACAGATTCTCGTTGCGATTTACGGATTATCGTTGCGATTTACAGATTCTCGTTGCGATTTACGGATTATCGTTGCGATTTACAGATTCTCGTTGCGATTTACGGATTATCGTTGCGATTTACGGATACGCGTTGCGATATACGGATACGCATTGCGATTTACCCATACGCGTTGCGATTTACGGATACACGTTGCGATTTACGGATACGCGTTGCGATTTATGTGTTCGCGTTGCGATTTTAATATTCGCGTTGCGATTTTGGAAAATCGCAATGCGAATTTGTACTATCGCATTGCGATTTTCAAGAATCGCGTTGCGATTTTGGAAACTGATTTGCGATTCTGGGGATCGCGTTGCGATTTTTATTTCGCGTTGCGATTTTGTTGGTCATTTTGACAAATCCAAAAAAAGTTGGTTAAAATCGTATATTATAACTTTTTTTTGTCACTGAGGCGATTTTCTCTTTATTTAATCTATTAGGCATCTCCGTTTATATTTTAGGATCTATGATATTTTTTACAGTGTTATTGGAGCTCGTCACTTTAAAGTAATGAGTTCTAACAAAAAAATAGTTTTTATTAAAACTCGACACCTCAAGGTGACGAGTTTCAATAAATTATATATTTTTTATTAAAATCTATTACATCGAGATAAAATGTTAAAATAAAAAAAATTATTAAAATTCATCACCTCGACGTGACGAGTTTCATGTCACTGTAAAAAATACTATTCCAAAATAAATTTTTACTTACCCTATTAAGTTAAATAAAAAATCCATATACCTCACGGGGCTAATTTTACCCCCATCATCACCTCTCTTCTTTCGTCGCAACAAAGTACTGCACATATCTATACCTATTCTTAAATATAGTTAATAAAGCAAAGAGAAGATTCGAAAACAAAATAAACAAATAAAAAGACCTATCAATTGTAAACAATTTGTTTTATTGAATCCATAATTTTCTCTAGGTCAATTTGAATTCTAAATTTTTATTATTGTTAAAATATAATTTTATTATTATATAGATTTTTAAAATTTATAATTTTAGAACGAATAAATTAAAATTTTATCATTTTAAATGATTAAAATATAATTTTATTATTGACTTCTGATTTTATTAATTTAGACGAGCCACGGCCCCTAGATTCGCATCTGCATTAAAATAGAAAAATTCAATCGGTGCAAAAATATCGTAATACCATGCAAAACATTACTAGATAATAATACAGTACCAGTATGGCATAAAAATACAGAAAAATATAAATTTATTTTCTATTAAGAATATTTTTTTATTAAACTTTAAAATTATATATGATTTATTATGATAGTATATTTAACATTCAATGATAAAAAACACATTTAATTAAAATTATTTATAACTAAAATAAAATACAAATAATTTCGATAATATTTGAACTAAAAACCTAATAATTTTCCGCATAAGATTTAATCATTCAAATCAATTATTATTTTTAACTGAAAATACTTTACAAAAATGTTTTTGAAACGCACAATTAATTAGATATATTTTTATCTTCTAATAATATTATTTAATAAATAATTAGTTTTATATATTAATTTTATAAAAAAACTATAATTAAATAAAAATGTCCATTTTTTAAGAGAATGAAAACCAAATTCCATCCATCACTTCAAAAGTATTTGTTTTCGTCAGTACTTTCTACATTATTTAGGAAATTCTAAAATATAATTTATTAATTTAAAATTACAAACAATATATAGAAATAAGTTGTAATTGAAATTTTTATTATAAGCCTAAACTTTTAGGTAAGACAAATCAATTTTTTAGGTTATACATGTTATAACTGAAAATACTATCTTTTTCATAATATTTTCAATTATAAATCTTAAATTCTCTTAATATAACATTTCGATTATAACTCAAAATGTTATAAATTTATATCACTTTTTATATTAAATATGATAATATTATAATTTAAAATCATCTTCAATTAATCTTAAATTAAATTATCATATATACAACAAAACTACTCATATTATCTACACAATACGTATGTGAGTTCTGTGATGGAAAAGAGAGATTGTCCTTTTTTATGATGAAATATCTTGGCAATGATGGACATGATAGACACGACCTCATCAAATCTTAATAAGATTTGGTAATGCCCCTTATCCACTCATTCCAACTCAAGGCTTTTCAACAAACTCTTTGATGCGTTGATGACATATGTATACTTTCATTTATCAGATATAGTAAATTACACAAATAGTCATTAATTCTTAAAGTATTTATATTCTAATCACTAAATTTAAAAATATATAATACAATTGTTAAATTTTTAAACCGCTTTCATTATCATTAAATTTTTTTAATGTTAGACGTTAAAATATATTCAATATTTTTCATCTTTTTATCACGTTACTCTCCTTTGTTTCTTCAGTTCCCTCCAACACCATTCATCTTTTTTATCATTCAATAGTTTGCATTATTTAGAATGTAGAGAAAAAAAAAATCATTCTTGCATACTGCAAGTTAGTTTGTTTAATGGAGGCAACGATTTGAATAACACCGGCAGTGATGACACTAATTATTCGAGCACTTTTCAATTATGAAGAAGATAAATAGTGTCGATGGAATTAGAAGAAATAGAGGAGGATAACTTGATAAAGAAGATGAACAAGGTTGAAATACACTTTAATATTTTCTTAACGGACGTTGATGTCAATTTTCAATGATTGCATTATAAATTTTAAAAATTGGTGACCAAAATGTAAGTGCACTCAAAACTTGGTGACTATTTTTATAGTTTACCCTATCAAATACCCTCTATCTCTGGAGATTTGATTGAGAGAACCCCAAAAACTTTTGAATATCTTAAAAGAGATAAGCAAAGGACCATGCTAGGTGTTGAACCTGAACGTGAGACAATTCAAGCTATGTAAACTTGTCAGTTTTACTTGAAGGATGACATTTGTTTCAAATTCACGTGAAGAGATGCAGTTTTGTAGTTTTGAGTGGAGACTGTAAGCACGTGATAAAAGCAGAATTATGTAGGATGCAAGTTGTGTAGGTAGGTACAATTAGCTGGACTCGATCTTCAATCTGAATACACCAGACATGATACAAGGTCCTAGCGTGGCCATCATTGGAACGTCAAGCTAAAATACATTGATGAATCTTTTGGAGTCTTTCTTAAAGTACAAAACATATGTCAACTCCTTTTTATCTTTTCTATATCTTAATAAGTGGACTATATTTTCTTGGGTCACCATATATTTAATAAGTGGACTATATTTTTTTCTTTTTAATTTGCATCAATGCCAAATATATGGTGGAATTTATATTATTTGTATATATAACCAAATAAGTATCGTCTTATCAATCGAGACGGCGTCGAATTAAAATTTAAAAAATTTAAACGAAAAAAAGGTTAAATGACCGAAAACATACAGAGAAAATGTGTCATAAAGGAAAAATGATTAGAAACTAAAAAAGAAAAATAAATATGCAATATACAAAAGTAAATGAAAAACAAGAAATACAAACAGTCGACAATCAATACCAAAACTGATATCGGTGCCCGTCAATCAAAATTACAAAAAAAAGTTTAGAGAAAAAAGTGAAACGACTAATCCTTCTTCTTGTTTCAAACTTAGATTATTTATTCTTTCAATATTTAATCATAATTTGTTTAGTAAATCATTTAGGTTTATTGTGCTTCACTCTTAATATTACTAATATCAAATATTAAAACTCATAGTTTATTGTGCAGAGAAAGGTTTCGACATAAAGTAATACTATATTATACATCTTACGAGAAGTATATAGATTATCTCCCTCGTGGTCATTGAAGTTTTTGAATTTGTACTATTTGTAAAATCGTGAATATAACAGGTTAAAAAATGTTATCGTCGACTAAAATAAGTAATGTTTTTTTAATTGAGTTGTTAAAAGTTTGATATCCCTTAAATAAATTATTTTAAATCTTATAAATAGTTATATAAAAAATATTATAAATACAAATATAAAAGTTAAAAGAAGTTTCACTTCATTCGAGTAGATCCTTGCTCAACTTCAAAATACACGGGTCCGAATATAAAAGAGGTAAATTATGTATTTACTCATTTAATTATTTATTTGATTTTGTTTTAATTATTTAATTTTTTTAAATCATATTTAATGATATGTTTTAGTTATGTTTAGGTCACTCGTAGTTTAAAAATAAATGGGGTTGACGTGCCATCATAAAATAATGTCACATTATAATTGAATTTTTTTTATCATGTTAACAAATGTTTTAGTTTTTAATGATGAGTGATAAAAAAAGAACCAAAACGTATCATTATATATGATTTAAAAAGAATAGATGGATGACCAAAATAAAACCACAAAAAAATTGAATGACTAAATACATAATTTACCCTATAATCAATACTGAAAGTGTTAAATAATAGGAACTTCTTAAAATTGTAATATAACATCAGTATTAGAATAAAGCAACAAATAACTTTTACCGCATCACAGCTTCGCTTAGAAAGATACGGTAGGCCAAGACAAAACACACAACGTGTAGGCCCAAACATGCACGTACATTGTGGTACATATAAAATGGAGTAATCTTTTGAATTTACGGTAATACTCCTTTATTATATTACTTAATCATCACTCACAATATTATTATGTTATGATAAATTTTTAAATTTCGTTAAAATATTTGATCAAAATTATACTACTTTTATTTGTATTTATTTAATGAAGGGGTTAAAATTAAGTGAATTGATGATTATCGTTGAGCCGTTTTGGCAAATTCAGATCAGCAGCTTCCTCTATCCATGAAAAAAAAAGGACATGACCAGTTGACCACCACCTTCTAGTATACGTTGTTCTTATTACAGATTTTACTAGCCGAAATCTTGGCCTCAACTTAACTGTCCTATATTTCATCTCTTTATATTTCATTGATTTCATGCTTCATTAATTGTCCACCAACTACTCATTATCATCCATTCCTCAATGGCTAACCTTGCGTCTAACCTTCACCCATGGTGGCTGCTGCCTGTTTCCTTCTTGTTAGTCTCAAATATTCACCACTGTGTCAATGCAGAACCTCAGGTTCCCTGCTACTTCATATTTGGGGATTCCTTATCGGATAGTGGAAACAATAACAACCTCGCAACGACGGCCAAAGTAAATTATTCGCCCTACGGGATTGATTTTCCTAAAGGACCCACCGGAAGGTTTACTAATGGCCGAACCATGCAGGATATCATTGGTTTGTCTTCCCTTCACTCTGTTCTGTTTACAAAATACTAAGTAGTAATTGTTTGGTGCTGCAGTATATACCATTTACTCAGCTACCACCATAATTCAACAAGTATTAATATCATAATGATATGTACAATGACAGTTCAACTACTGGGTTTTCAAGAATTTATTCCTCCTTTTGCTACTTCAAAAGGCCGACAGATTCTCAAAGGTGTAAATTATGCATCTGGCTCGTCAGGAATTCTCAATGAAAGTGGACAACAACTGGTAATTATCTATTGTATCTGCAGCATTTATTGTTCACGAAAATAACGATAATTTTACACGTTGCAAGAGTGTGTTATCATTTTACCATTAAAAAACGCCGGCTGCTAATTGAGCCAGCCGACGTTAAAAAGCTAAAAGCTTTGAACCGGGAATTTTGTTCAGTTGATTCATGTAATCTTCCCACAAAAGTTGATATCAGGTAAATCTGGAATTTCAGTGTTTGCAACCATTTTCCTATTCCGTTTGTTGGATCTATTGTCCAGAAAGAAAGTTAAGAGTGTTTTTTTTTCAATCTTTAAAATGTGCAGGGCGATCGAGTATGCATGAACAAGCAGCTAAGCAATCACCAAAGTGTAATATCAACAATTGCTAAATTGTTGGGAAAACGTTCAGCTTCAAAGCTTCTAAGGAAGTGCATATATGCTGTTCAAATCGGCAGCAATGACTACATCAACAACTATTTCAAGCCAGAGGTGTACAATACCAGCCGCCTATTCTCTCCAGAGCAATATGCTGCATATCTCATTGAACAATATTCACGTCAATTAAAGGTTGCAGAAACATAACGGACTTGGATTGTGTTATGCTAAAACTTTATCCACCTACGTTAAAATCTTGAAGGGTTTAAATTGCTTCCTTGCTTTTCATTTTCTTATGACCAGACTCTGTACAATAACGGAGCAAGGAAGCTTGCGGTGTTTGGAGTTGGTTCCATAGGGTGCACTCCAAATGCGATGGTAATACATGGAACAGATAGTTCTACCTGCGTGGAAAAATTGAACAATGCTGCTCAACTTTTCAATGAGAGGCTTATATCGCTAGTTGATGAACTGAATACCAACTTACGCGACGCTAAATTTACATATCTAAATCCTACAGGAGCAACCTCTACAAAAGCCCTCGGTAATATCAGAAAAAGAACATAACATTGCAACTTTGTTCATTTATAGAATGGAAAGTTAATGCAAGTGTTTTTTTTGTGTGTGTGTGTGTTTCCAGGTTTTACAGTGATAAATGCTGGGTGCTGCAGAATAGGGAGTGATGGAGAGCTTTGCCTCCCGGGTTCAGAGCCATGTGGTGACCGAAGTAAGTATGTGTTTTGGGACGCAGTCCACACTTCGGATGCATGGAATGAGATCATCGCAGAGGAGGCTTATGGTGCTGAATCTAGTGGCCAAGCTTATCCCCTTAATATTAACAAAATGGCACAACTGCATATCAACAACGATGCCGATGAAGATATTTGTGGCCACTGTGTAATCTGATTCACTCTATTTTATTAGTTTGAATCATTGTAATGTGTTTAGCCCCTCGTCTTAAAATTAAATAAATGAACTGTTTAGTTCTGGCAGGGAAGAGAATATTATCCTCTCTTAGGTTTTGTTTTGCTTGCCCGGTAAGCCCTCGGGTTGTGCTCAACTGTTTAATTTGACCTGCACGCATGAAAAAGAAAAATGTCCTCTCCCATAACTTCAACAAGGTGATTGAAGAATGTTATCCTTCCTATATTAACTTACCGAAATTATCAGTTTTTTGTCAGGTAAGATCTTCGGATTAATCCCTATTTGCTGAAGCCTCTACAGAACCTTCACTCTTTGGGCACGAGTTTTTAAGACAACTATAATTCTTAGACAAAATTTTTAACATATAAACGTGATATATCAAAATGAAATTAGAATTTAACTATCAGATTTATCTAGTCCATCAATCTACAAATAACCATAATTAACCTATGTTTAATCACTAATTATAATCACTATAAATACCATAATCAAAACTAATAAAGAGACCAAACTCTTTATAATATGTATTGATCTTCATCTTTTTCCTTAAGATTATCTCTTTGTTACAAAAAAACATCAATCAATGATCGTTCTTTCATTGATCACAACTCTTTATCTAAACTAAAAGAGATACATTATTAAAGACCGGTGACATAAACTTGTTCCATCAACAAAAGAGAGAAATTAATTATTACATATATTTCATCGATTTTACTTCCTGCCATCGATGGAAAATGATCAAAAGGAAAAACAACGAAATTTTTTTCTCAAAACTATGATATTACAAATTTGATTCAACTGGTATTCGTTTAATTTATATTTCTCACGTCAATAAAACAAATTCTTTTAATTATTTTTTTAATTTTAATATAATGTAATATTTCATTGAAAAAATGAAATAAAGTCAAAAATAAGTTCAAACATTTATTAAAATGATTATTTTGGTTCTTACCCATTTTTTGAGTATTTAGACCCTTAGTATTTTATTTTGAGATAAAAAGTCATTTCTGTTGATAGAAATCGTTAGTTAACAAAAGATTAACACACCAAAACATATATACTTTTAGCCTAAAATGAAAAATGAAGAGTCAAAATACTCCAGAAAAATAATAAAGACTAAGGTGACTATTCGATCAAATGTTCTCAAAAAAGAAAAAAATGAAAATGAGTCAAATGACCATTTTAATAAAAACGTTTGAGTCTAATTTTGACATTATGCCTAAAAAACATTACATCATAAAAAACAAAGTTTTATAAATGTAACCCCCTAGACCCGACCTATGCGTTTCGACTAAGTCTAGTGGATCACATACATGATTCTTAAAGACATTTTCTGAAACCGTTATTCAATCATTGTAAAATCACATTATAAATGACATGATATTATACTATCAAAACCCAACTCATAAATATAATACCAATAAGTAAAAAATTAATTTAAAACATGTCTTAAAAATCAAAATCACGATAAACCGAATATTAATAGCAAAAGTGTAATCACTATAAAATCCAATACTTTAAAATAAGGTCCATGTCACCAAAATAAAGTCAACCTGAATGATAAAAACATTACAATCAAATATACTTCAAGAGATATGTTGATCCTCCAAGTGCTCGAACCTATGTATCTAACCAACAGTATCTGAAAGGGGGAAAAACATTTTCGAAAGGTGAGCTAGGCTCAGTGTGTCCCAATATTACCTTAAAATCACAATAGATACATTAAACAAATCATAGTCCAGTAAATCTCATAAATTCATAAAAGAGTTTAACTTTTGAGAATCATAGTTTAAACTCTTTTCTTGTACACCATCAGTAATTTCCAAAACTATTTTCCATATATCTTACTCTAAGCACACAGCAAAAAGAAAGCCAACCTAAGGATAAGCTTTAGAGCTTGTATCCTTAAGCCCGTAAGTCCAAGTCCATATAGCTTACCCTAAGCACACAGCAAGGGAAGCCAACCTAATGTATTTTGGGGCCCCAAGAGTCACATTAGGCCCATTCTGTTTATTAGCTTGATCAGAGCTATACTATTGTAATTCAATCCAAAAGTTCAATTGCACCGTGACACAAATTCCATAAATCATCACATTAAATTGGTGCATCAATAAAATAGTAACCAAAGAACTCAGTGTACCTCATATTAAAACCAATAAAACAATTCAGTAATAATTAGGGAACACACCTCGATAATAGGTTCAAATAGTATATCTACTGATTGCTAGTTTCACCACGCTCTGCTACAGTTTTCGAACCTATTTATAATAACACTATATTACTTATGGGTAACATAAATAAATCTCTAAAATCATAAAATTTACGGGTCTTACGGGTGAATACTGGCACACGTGGTTTAATTGATCTAGAAGAGCTGGGTCGAGCTGTCGAACGATCCGGATAGTCTCTTGTACCTTCAAATAATAATAATTTATCATCCTCAAATCTTACTTAATTGTTCAAAGCTAAATTCTTAAGTATATAAGCATTTTCAGGGTTTGACTATCAATTTGGAGAATCTCGGGTTTGAATTTGGCCAAACGGATTGCAGAATCGGAATCAGGATGTCGAAAAAATAAAGTATGTCTTTTCGAAAATTTAAATTATTGGTCAAAGTCAACCACTTTGACCAACGATTTGGAGGCCTTCGGGTTCGAATTTGGTGAAATGGACTTCGGAAATGGATTCGGGACGTCGAAAACTATCAGAATATGAATACTTGGAAAAGATTAACGATCGTTTAATAGTCGGTCAAAGCCATTTTAAGTTTTGGTCAAAGAAAGTCAACGGTCAACGGTCGGGTCGGTCGGGTCAGACCGGTTCAGACCGTTCAAAACCGGTCAACACGGTTTTCCAGCTGCTCACTCTCCCTGCGGCGGCGCGTGAGACCTCATATGGGGCTCTAAAAATCCCGGAAAAATTTCTAAAAATTATTTTGAGCGATTTCAAGATACTTACAAATATCAGTTCAAATTTGTGAACGACAGAGAGCTCGATTTCAACTCGGCCAAATCTTTGACTGCTTCACCTCCTCACGCACCGTCGTCGACTGAGATTGAGGATGACACCTGCAGACTCGAAACGGCACAAGGACAACGATGGTACAGGAGGTGTCGTAAACGGAGCAACGATCGACGATGAATTTGAGATTTTCTCGGCGATAGAGCTAAAAAAAATATCGATGCTTTGACTTGAAATTCCCGACGTCTGGCAGCGTTTCGCTTCAATTAATTTAAGGGGATTGTTCCTGACTCGATAACAAACACGATGGTGATTTCAAAACGACGATCAGAATTCGGACGGCGTCGGGATCTAAGTCGGAAACCGGCGTAGGGGGAAAGGAATTTGGGAGCAATTGAGGTGTGGTTTTCTGTTTTGAAACAGAAAACCACGTTTATAACATAACATACCTAACTTTCTTGAGTAATTTCAGGGCTTGGTCCCTGAATTTTCTTTAACTCTAAAACAAGCTCTAAGTTTTTAAAATCTTTCAATTTAGTCCCCACAATTTACCGATTTACACAATTAAAACCTCCAATTTCAATTAAATATTATTTTGAAAATATCCGGGTTGTTACAATTCTCCCCCTCTACAAGAAATTTCGTCCTCGAAATTTACCTTATGAGAATAGTTGAGGAAACTGAGCCTCCATTGACTCCTTAGGCTCAGAGAAAAGCCAATTTCATCTTTTAATGAAGGTATGCATCGATGCACTACTGATGCATCGGTGCATAAAATGCATTCGATGTTGTATTATTATAGGGATGCAGCGATGCATGACTTATGCATCGATGCACTAATTGCATTCGATGTTTCTATTTTAAAAGAGTGCATCGATGCATTACCAATGCATCGATACACCTTCAAACAATTTATGGGTTTTAACCTTGATGCATCGATGCACTATGAATGTGCATCGATGCACTCTGCCCAGAATCCTCTTTTATGCCCGAAAATCCACTCTTTTCAGCTTAATACTTCATATATCATCCCCTTTCTTATTTTAAACTACATACTCATATTCAAACTCATTCCTATTCATTAATCACCTCTTTAACATCAAAATCCTATTTTCCATATGTAATTCAAGAATTACACTAAATTTTCAACATGCTCCAAATTCAATTCTATTGCTTCTAGCTTCTTAATTATACCCTTGACAAGTCAAATCCATCTTTAGAACTTCAAAAACCTTTCTATAACAAAATTTCATTTCTACACCCTTCATATCATTTCCTTTCTAATTCTCTATTCTTGATTTTTAAAGCTTATATAAGCTTTCCTTAAGCTTATATAATACTCCAAGAATCAAAATTAACTTATAAATCTAAGAATTAAACAGCTGAAATTAAACTCACCTTTAAATGAGGCTTACGGGGAGAAGAATAAGCTGGAGAAGAAGACTCTGGATAATTCTCTCATTTCCCACGTGGTTTCCTTAAAAAGGGAAAATAAAAATCTTCTCTTAGAAAAGTCCATAACACCCTTGTTATTTTCCAGCTTTACTACTAAATCCATGAACTTTTAATTTATTTCGAAATCAAGCACATAGTTTTCAAAATTTGCAATTTAGTCACTGACCCTGAATTTCGGGATGTTACAAATCTCCCCTCCTTTAAAGAAAATTTGTCCTCGAATTTTCATTGAACATATCAATAAGAACATATCTTCTAATGTTCTCATACTATCTCTTTCACTTGATCTTTCATTCCTTTATTTCTTCAGTTGTCTTTTCCTTTATACATTCATATACTGACACTTATCATATAAACAGTAACTAGTAACTTTAATCCATTTATGTCTTCTCTCTCCTTCCTTTATGCATTTTCCTTTGACCATTTCTGAAATTTCATATAATGTCACTAATCACATAGACGGTAACATCAATTTTCATCACTTAACATCATAAATTCATCTCTAAATACTTTATAATAACCAAATTCATTTTCCATCATCATTTAACCAAGAATACGACCTTAAATCTTCTTAAATACGATTCAACATACACTTTAAAGAATCTTTTCACATCACCTTGCACACTTGTCTTATTTGTATATCAAAATTGTCATCTGTACTT